CAGTAAACATAAATCAAAACATTTAGATACGAATTTAAGAAAGTCAAGATCTTTGAGAAATCTAGAGGAGAAAAAGTTCTCAGAGTCAATGACCCGAAGAGAAATATAAAATGCTTACTGCCCTATAGTATCACAATAAAAAAAAGCAATTACTTCTGTTTCTAATTCCATGGAATCATTGGTCACATCCTCAGGTCTTGCCTTCATCCATTGATTTCACCCTTTTGGAGTTGGATTTGATCCAGTTTTACTACTTTCTGCAAGATTTCAAATGGAAATTTTAGAATTTAGAAATCCGGGGCATCGCTCCTCCTCAATGTGATGAGAAGTTAAGGTGTAACCGGTTGTTTGCTAACTATCCAGAACTACCTCAGCAGAAGACACAAGGAGAGGGGATACAGTAGATGTTACTCTCCAGTTCCCTTAATCTATTGTCATTTATTCATGTTGTCTTTCATTTACTATAAACTGGATTTCAGTTTTTCCTCTATTGATCTTTTTTTTTTTAAGATTTTATTTATATATCAGAGAGAGAAAGAGCACAAGCAGGGGGACAGTAGGCAGGGGAAGAAGCAGGCTTCCTGCTGAGCAAGGATCCTGATGAGGGATTTGATCCTGGGACCCTGGGATCATGATCTGAGCCAAAGGCAGACACTTAACTGAGTGACTCACCCAGTTGTCCCTGTTCTATAGTTTTTGGTTTTGTTTTTTTTAAGATTTTATTTATTTGAGACAGAAAGAGATAGCGAGAGAGAGCAGAAGAGGGGCGCAGAGGGAGAAGCAGCCTCCCCAGTGAGCAGGGAGCCCGATGTGGGGCTCGATCCCAGGCCCCTGGGATTATGACCTGAGCTGAAGACAGACGCTTAACCAACTGAGCCACCCAGGCACCGCTCTATAGATCTTTAATATGAAAACATTTCATTTTCAACTGAGTAGGCATTCCCAGAGGCTGTTACAGCAAAGGGCATGCTTTCATGTGATAGCATGCAGCTCGGAATGATATGAGCAAAGAAAAATGTTTTTAGTTGGTGTCTCAAGCACAAAGAATACCTGGATTCACCCTTGAACTTCTTCAGGCCTTGTCATGACTGTCTTCCCAGAAATGGTTTTCCAGTGAGACCATACTTCCTAAAGGTAGGAACAGACTGAACTCACTTCTGTCATTGCCTGCTCTCTAAACCAAGCTTTGCAGCACAAGGGCTGGGTTTTTCTTGCAGGAATTAAGAAACAAACTGGAGGCGCACCAAAACAAACAAAAACCCCAAAAGGAAAACCAAATTCTTTGGATTTCAATTCTTCCTTCAAAGCTATGTCCTAGAAGGGCTGCTGACCATCACTGGTCAGCAACACTCAACAGTTCTTCCCAGAGCACCTCATTCTCTGAACACAGTGGGTCTTCCTGAAGCTGGACTTGGAGAATGAAGACCCACTCTCTGGCCCTGAAGAAGTAAATAATCTGGTATACCTTGGTAGCACCTTTGATTATGTCACGATTTTTCTCTCGTGGTCTTCCAGAGGGTGAGAAACCCTGCAGTAGTTCAGGATAGGCCCTGTGAAGAAGAACCCTCCTGTTGATGGAGAATGGTTTCCCTGATCTAGGGTTTGTTGACAAATTTGGGTGAGTAATAGAGATCTTTCCAAAGGTAGCAGCCATTTCTCTAGAAGTACCTTGTCCAAGTCTTGTAGTTGCAGCTGCGCCAGTAGGTGGCGCCTCTAACTTTTTTTACTGCCTTACTACAAATCTTTCCATTATTAATCCAAGGTCCCCCTCAGCCCACCATGGGCTTTCAAATAATCTGGCAGGTCATTGATTCTTTTGATTCTCTTAGAAAAAGTTAAAAGTAAGCACAATTCTTCCAGGTGAAGAGATTATAGAAATGCAAAACACTGAACTGTCATAGCAAGTATCACTGCAATTTCATATGGAAGAAACCACAAATGAACTAAGCATGAATACAGGTGAAGAACTGAAGAACAGAAAAGTGAACTTCCACTCACAGGTTTTTTTTTTTTTTTCCCTCTAGACACTTCCAGTGCTTTGTATTTTCAGAATTTCTACAGCTGAAGATGTTCCTTTGGGAAAGTAATCCACTCACTTTTCATTTATACAGACTGGACACATTGATAGATCTTATCAGTTTTCCATAGGAAGCTGTAGCCGCAGGAAGCAGACAAAACTCAGAGAAATGATGCAGTCTTGCCAGTCTTTAGAGAGGTTGCAGTCCTAATAGTCCATTTAAATACTGTCTGGCAAATGCTGGGGTAGTAACCAGGAGGTAGGAGGAGAGCAGCCCAGGAGTATCCAGGAGGACTGCAAAGGCCCAGAGCAAGAGAGAGTACATGGACTAATTGCAGAGAATCTAACATGGAGCTGCGGGTTGCAGGGCAAAGGGAGACTTGTTGATGGGGATGATGTCTAAGCCAAGATCTGAAGGAGAAGCAGGAGCCAGGCAGGCAGTGGTGAATGGGAAGGAGGTGCAGGGGAGCAGAAACATGTTCCAGGGAGAGGAGTAGGAATAGGATAGGTCTTAGGTGTAGAGAGCTAAGCCTAGTTCAGAGCAAGTGAATATTGGTATGTTCAGGGCACTTTAGAAAAGTGTCAGAGGTTCTTAACTTTTTTTGTGACATAGACCTCTTGGGCAGTCTGGTGAAGTCATTTGGTTCCTTCTCAGAATGCTGTTTTTATTTTTTTATTTTTATTTATTTATTTATTTATTTTTTATTTTTTTTTTTAAGATTTTTATTTATTTATTTGACAGAGAGATCACAAGCAGGCAGAGAGGCAGGCAGAGAGAGAGGAGGAAGCAGGCTCCCTGCTGAGCAGAGAGCCCGATGTGGGGCTCGATTCCAGGACCCTGAGATCATGACCCGAGCCGAAGGCAGCGGCTTAACCCACTGAGCCACCCAGGTGCCCCAGAATGCTGTTTTTAAATACATAAAATTAAGTTTGTTGGAATACAAAGGAAACAATTATGTTGGAATACAGTTACTGAAATATTTTTAAAATCTGTGATACAATAATATAATACTGTATGTACTTAGGAATGCATAGCTTTACAAGATCTAAAGGCAGGTCTAATAACTATTATTTTGAAGTAGTGATGAGCAGGTAATGGAATATAAATGTATCTGTGATTTCTCTTGGTAACAAAATTACAGGTAATGTTAATATTACTATAGTTCATTGCTTACCTTTATTGAAGGCAGTGCTTTCAATGATAGATTAGTGAAAATAAAGATGCACTTTTTCCTCCAACTGAATAACCAATTGAATATCCATGGACTCCTTATGAGTGTGTGGAACTGGGATAGGAACACTTCCTAATAGCAGGGTGGCAAATGGATTGGAGAGCAAGGCTGAAGACAGGTGTTGGAGCAACCCAAAGCCCTCAACACAGAAAGGCATCAATATCCCTAAGGGATTTGGATTTAAGTGAGGGATGAACCAGTGGCACCAGTGGAGCAGGGGCTTTTGCCTTTTCTCAGGGCTGCAAAGCTTGCAGAAACACCAGCCAGGTGCCAGGTTCTATGGCACTCTGCAGTGTGCACAGCCTCGTGGGAGAGAGGACATGTAAATCATTTCTGCAAGGGATTAATGAGCACTAAATGCTAATCTCCAGCACCATATTGGATGGTGGTTAAGACCCAGCAGAGCTCGACAGACTTGGATTACACTGCCCTTTCTTACACAGTTCTAGAAACTGTATAACCTAGGACAATTTTATCTTTCAGTGTCCTCATCTGTAAAAAGGAGTAATAAAAATGTCTATCATGATCATAGTGTTATGATGAGTTAAAGTGATGCATTTCATTATGGTGCTGTAGATAATACTGGATAAATAAAGGTTAAATATGAGTTGAATGAATCTGCCTGATTACCTTTGAAGAGGGGAACCCTTCTATTCTATTTCTGTCCCCTGTGCCTCCCTCCCTGTTTAAATAAAAGAACAGGCTTAACACTTTTCTTCCGTGGTTAAGGTAGCCATGTTTCAGGTTCTCAGTCTCTGGCTTCTAGATACTGCTAAGTTACTGCATGTCGTCAACATCTTTTTAATGTTTCCCAGTGTATACTTTTCTTGAGCACGTGCAGGCTGCTGGGGACTGGAAGAGAATCTTGAACACTGTTTTATAGTAGCTTTTGCAGTGAAAACCTGGTATGTCATAACAAGGACAGGTATTAAAAACCACGGGGTAAGGGTTTATGATAACTCAAGTTCCTCACTCAGAAGCTAGGTTAATTAACATGGAATTCTAAGCACTGTTGTTTACTTCATATAAAAAGATACTAAATCAAGTACACACATCTTCTGGGATGTTTCTTTCCCTCGTGTTTACCTGCGACGTTAGAATGCTCCAAAAGCTGCCTTCCAAACACCTCAAACCAGATATTTACCCTGCCAGAGTAAATCCACTAGTAAACCGTAACTGGAATAATCAAGTATTTTCACTCGTAAATAAATTTGCGTCCATTTGAGGCAAAAGTTACGACCGACGAGGATGGGATTCGAACCCACGCGTGCAGAGCACAATGGATTAGCAGTCCATCGCCTTAACCACTCGGCCACCTCGTCCCAGAAACCTACTCCTTCCTGGTAGCTATAGGGAGTAATACTGGGGGATGTGACGCAATGTTATGGAGGCCGCCATTTTGTACGGAAACAAAGATCTGATCATTTTTACACCAAGTGATCAAAAGAAGATGGCTGCTGCCATGATGTGAGGGCTCTACAATGGGGTGGGACAAAGAAAAATTCGGTGGAAAATGAGATAGGCTTTAAGGAAATAAAATTTATATACAGAGCAGGAGGTATGAAGTTTGTTTAAAGGAGTCAGGAAGAGGATTGCTCCGGAGTCTAAGGGGCGGAGCCGCCGCGTAGAGCGGTTTTGCGCATGTGCAACAGCTAGGCGGTTAGATTTGAATACTTCACTGAAATAGTCTGGGCGTAGTGAGGTTTGTCGGTGGGCGGCAGCTGACTCGCTCTCTGAGGAGCGCGCGGACCCCAAACAAGTCTGAGCAGCCTTTGTCAAGAAGCTGGACTGCGGTGGGTAAAGAGAATGACCCTTTCGTTCCAGGCTCCCGGGTCGGGGGGGTGATGGAGGTGGGCATTAGTTTTTTTCTGGGCGCTCTGAAGGCTCGGTGGTGGGACGTGGGGACGCTCCCTCCGCCCCGCGGCCTCGGTAAGCGCTGGGCCCAGAGTAGAAGTTTTTGCTGGGTTGTGGGGCTCTTTGCCTACCCGGGCCTGCACTTTGTGCACTTTCCTCTTCCCTAGCACTTTTCCCTCCACACCTGAGCCCCTCGGGCCTGCTCGGATTGCGGGTCGGCTGCGCCCCGCCCCGCCATCTTCTGTCAGGGCTCCAGCACGGTGCCTCGCACCCCTTCCCTAGGGGACTCCCGGCGGTTTGTATTTCCGACTCGGTTATTTCTTAGCTGTAAATGAAGTGACAGCGTTGAGTGGTTTTAAGCGCTCGGCCGGTCGTAGTTTGTTTACTGGCAGCGCTGAACAGACATTCGGTTTCCAGCAGTTACAGTAACATTAACAAATAAAGCCAGTATTAGCCACATACGAGTTTTGAAAATATCTCCTTGAGGCTACTAGTAGCTCGGAGCTTATTAAAGCCTCTTTTTCTTGCTGCTTATCTAAATACTGAGTTTAAGAAAAAAATTCTCATACATTGCCGATTGGAATTTTAAAGAGATAAATTTGTCGATATGAAGGAGAAAACCAGAGCAGAGCTTACCCTAGATATTAAGATTGAAGTTTGTATTTCATTTGAATTGGATCAATCGAATTCCTCAGATATTTATTGAGTTCCTTGTCTTGTGCTAGGGCCGGGAGCGAATGACTCAGAGTCCCTAATCTGGAGGAATGAATTTTCAGTCCAGAAGAGAAAATGATTAACATTCACAAATAGCTATGATGCAAAACAATATAAAGGATTATAGGACATTGTAAGGTGGTATGGGAGCACAGAAAAGGGAGCGTTTATTTGATGCTTTTGACCCTGGAAACTAAAGGAGGCTTTGTAGAGAAAGGGGCATTTGAGGTGGAACTTGAAGGGAAGGATACATTATGGCGATGAATCAATTTAAGATGTTGCTAAGTAAAGACTGGGTTCAATTCTCCTTCACTGTGTGAATGGCTGGAAATGTTTACAAGATGACAAATAGATACAAAAATGTATGGTGTGGTAGTATCAGTGACATGCCTGATGCTGAATAAGAGAGCATAGTAGAAGATAATCTAGATATTGATAGTGCTGTCTAATAAAACTTTCAGTGAAAATGGTAATGGTTTATATTTGCACTGTCCAGCATGGTTCCCCACTAGTCAAATGACAACTAATTGTGGCTAATGACAACGTGAAATGTGGCTAATTGTGCCTAAACAACTGAATTTTAAGTTTTATTTCGTTTAAATTAAATTTGAGTTGCTACTGTATCAGATAGCACAGGTCTAGAGACTGTTATCAGTGGGCACAATGGAGTACATTAACCTTAGAAATTGGTAGTGTAAATGCAGGAGTAGCCAAAGAGCCAGATATAAATATTTCAGGTTTTGCAGTCTACGTGGTCACCAGCATGGTCTCTGTTGCATGTTCTTCTTTGTTTTTTTGTTTTGTTTTCTGCAGCCCATTCAAAATGTAAAACAAAACAAACGAAACAAAAAACCCTCTTAAGGACTCTTTGGCCCAGTATCTGTAGTTTGAAGTCTTTTGGATTATTTAGACTGTAATTCCCAAGCTTTTTTGGCTCATTGGTGCCCTTGGATCAAAAGAAATAACTAACAGTTCCATTTATTAAGTCAGTACATCCAAATAACTTAAAAAGTTATTAAGTTGAAATAAATTTATGTCCTAATGCTTAGTAGCCATTTGAAAAAAAATGCATAATTGAAAGAAAAAAGTAATATTTTTATTATATGCTTAAATCATCACAGTTATTTACTAATTGGCTATGTGTGCCTCTTGAACACTATACAACTTCTCAAATCTTGGAGTCATATGGGACACTGCCACCCTCATTTCCAGTACCACACTGATTAAAAAGTACTTGCTTCATATCATAACAACTGCGAAAAATCCAACTTTGCAATAATATATTATCAAAATGAATGTAATACAAATAGGTACTATTTTGAGCTAGTAGTTCATACCGGTGCATGACAGATGTCAAAAATTGCTGTTTCTCTCAAAAATTTAAAATATCCCAAGATACTTCTATGAGTATGCCATAGCACCCCTGGGTGCCAGATGCACAGTTTTAGAACCAATCAATAATTAGTTAATGTGGCAGTGACCAAGATAACAATAAAAGCATTTTACAAATGAAGTTTAACATGGTGATCTGGGGTACCCTATTTCTGTTGATGGTGGAACTTACAGTTATATAATAAATAGAATTTTCTTTTAAGATTTTATTTATTTATTTGACAGACAGAGATCACAAGTAGGCAGAGAGGCAGGTAGAGAGAGAGGAGGAAGCAGGCTCCCCGCTGAGCAGAGAGCCGGATGCAGGGCTCTATTCCAGGACCCTGAGACCATGACCTGAGCCGAAGGCAGCGGCTTTAACCCACTGGGCCACCCAGGCGCCCCAAGAATTTTTTTTTTTTAAAGGAGGATTTCAATAAGCTTTGAATCTCATCACTTAATTAAATGCCAACTGGCTTACAGGTTAGACAGGAATGATGTTCAATGACTATTTCAAACAGTGAATATGTCTAGGTGATCCTGATTTGATAGTATTTAATATATTTATCTGTGAATTTTGAATATGTCACTGAATTTGAAAATATTCCCCAAAGGAGAAAAACTATGCAAATTAATAATCGTAAAAGTAATTTGAAATAATTGTTTCTTGTTTCTTAATTACTCATTTAGCAAATATTTATTGAACTATTATTTACAAAGCATGTGCTAGTTTCTCAGAATGTAACAAGGAACATAATTCTAGCCTTATTCTAATTGAATTTACTGTTGGGGCACAGGTGGTTTGGGGAAATACCAGGAATAATTGATTTACATAGCAGACTTTGAGATTGCAGTTTTGGTAATGTTACAAAAGAGACATACATAGTGCTACAAAAAAGTGCTTTTCTTGGCTTTTTTTTTTTTTTTTTTTTTTTTTTTGCCAAGAGAGAATAGCAAATATAAATTCAGTGGCTCAGAAAAGATCTTTGTGTGTACAGGAATAAGTGTGTACAGGAATATTCAGTGTGGCTAGAATAGTGAGGAAGACAATGGCCTGAGATGAATGTGAAGTCTGAAAGGCAAGTGGAGGCCAGATCTTAGAGAGCTTTATAAGTTCTGGTGAAGAGTTCATTCTCATTACCGTGGGAAGCCATTGGAAGCTATTAAATGGTTTTAAGTATGGAGTCTCTTAAACGTGACTTATGTTTAAGAAGGTAACTGTCTATGTAGAGAAGGGCCTATGGAAGATAAGAGTAAAAGTAGGGAGACCATTGAGGTGAATATTGCAGTAGTTTACATGAGAGATAATGATAGCTTGAAACTATGATGAAGGCACTGAAGATAGCAGTGAATGCATTTGGGCTATATATTGGAAATAGAACTACTAAGATTTGGTGATGAACAGAATTGGAAATAGGTGTCATACTTGTTTGATCTCAGAGGAAAATCATCAAAGTCACCATTAAGTTGATGTTTGCTGTTGGTTTTAAAATTTTTTTTCTAAATTTTAATTTTTTAAAATTTTATTTTATTTAAATTCAATTAACACATAGTGTGTTACTAGTTTCAGAGTAGAGTTCAGTGATTCATCAGTTGTATATAATACTCAGTGCTCATTGTATCACATGCCTTCCTTAATGCCTGTCACCCAGTTATCCTATCCCCCCTGCCCACAGCAACTCTCAGTTTGTATCCTATGGTTAAGAGTCTCTTATGGTTTTCTCCCTCTCTGATTTCATTTTGTTTTATTTTTGCCTCTGTTCGCCTATGCCCCTTTGTTTTGTTTCTTAAATTCCACATGGGTGAAATCGTATGATAATGGTCTTTGTCTGACTGACATATTTTGCTTAGCATAATACCCTCTAGTTCTATCCACGTCATTCCAAATGGCAAGATTTCATTTTTTTGATGGCTGAGTAGTATTTCAGTGTGTGTGTGTGTGTGTGTGTGTGTGTGTGTACCACATCTTCTTTATCCATTCATCTGTTGGTGGACGTCTGGGCTCTTTCCATAGTTTGGCTATTGTGGACACTGCTGCTATAAACATCGGGATACAGTTGCCCTTTCAGATCACTACATTTGTATCTTTGGGGTAGATACCTACTAGTGCAATTGCTGGGTCATAGAGTAGCTCTATTTTCAACTTTTTAAGGAATCTCCATTCTGTTTTCCAGAGTGGCTGTACCAGCTTGCATTCCCAGCAACAGTGTAAAGGGTTCCCCTTTCTCCACATCCTTGCCCACATTTGTTGTTTCTGACTTGTTAATTTTGGCCATTCAGACTGGTGTGAAGTGGTATCTCATTGTGGTTTTGATTTGTATTTCCCTGATACCAAGTGATGTTGAGCATTTTTTCATGTGTCTGTTGGCCATTTGTATGTCTTCTTTGGAGAAATGTCTGTTCATATCTTCTGACCATTTCTTGAAAGCATTTTTTCTTTTTTGGTGTTGTTTGTTTTGGTGTTGAGTTTGATGAGTTCTTTATAGATTTTGGATAGTAACCCTTTATCTGATAAGACATTTGCAAATACCTTCTCCCATTCTGTTGGTTGCCTTTTGGTTTTGTCAACTGTTTCCTTTGCTGTGCAAAAGCTTTTTATCTTGATGAAGTTCCAATAGTTCATTTTTGCCTTTGTTTCACTTGCCTTTGGAGATGTGTCTATCAAGAAGTTGGTGCGGCCAAGGTCAAAGAAGTTGCTGCCTATATTCTCCTCTAGGATTTTGATGGATTCCTGTCTCGCATTTAGGTCTGTCATCCATTTTGAGTCTGTTTTTGTGTGTGGTGTAAGGAAATGGTCCAGTTTCATTCTTCATGTGGTTGTCCAATTTTCCCAACATCATTTGTTGAAGAGAGA